ATTTGAGAGAGAGAATGAGATAGAGAGAGAACATGAGAGGGGGGAGGGTCAGAGAGAGAGGCAGACTCCCCGCTGAGCAGGGAGCCCAATGCGGGACTCGATCCCGGGACTCCAGGATCATGACCTGAGCCGAAGGCAGTCGCTTAACCAACTGAGCCACCCAGGCGCCCTAAGCATCAATTTTCAGGGGGCATCTGTTTTGTGTACTGTATGTACACACTTTCTTTTTTCCATAGAGAGCACTTTCTTGAAATTTCATTAGCTACTGTACTTGAAATAGAGACGAGGAGAGATCGGGATATACTGACCTGGAGCGTCACAAAATCTGTGATATGAGATTGTCAATGCAGCACCCCAAGTCCCTTAAAGGTTCAGACCTGGCATGTAACACACACTTAGTATTTAGCAAACAAGTAAAACACTGAGTGAATCTAAGGAGAGTTCTCCTACATCTCAATCTTCTTTCCCCATCTCACTTCTTAATCACTTTATCTCTCATTTCCTTTTTACACAGGAACTGTCATTAGAAAATGGACTTATGGCCAAGAAAAAGCATAGGAACCCCCACGATAGGTTTTTCCTTCAGATGCCCCAGATTGAGTCTTTCCCATCAGCTAGTTAGTCTGGGAGAATAGTATTATACCTACAGTCTTACCATTTTCTTGCAATGCCACAGGGACCAGGATCTACGAAAAGAAAAGTAAAAGCAAACATTAGATTCAATAAGAATCAAAGATACTATAAAGATAGCGTCACAAATCAATAGAAAAAGAGACTGTGAAAAACAACCACCTAGGGGAATTGCGAAATTAAGTATATCACACCATGTACCAAAACAAATCACAGGTAAAGCAAGGAGTTAAATATTTAATTGAATTAGAGCAAAAATAAGAGAATACCTACTTACTCACTAGGGTTTAATCTAAGTTAAAGGTGACAAGAGATATACAGGAATAATATAGATTAAAACTTCTTAAAACTTAAAACTTCTATGTGCCAAAAATTAAAACTTGAAGAGTAAATGAAAATATTTGGCAACAAATATGACAAAGGGTTAATAGTCTTAATACCTGAAGATTTTAAAAGTATAGATGAATAAGAAAAACACCAAGGTATGTGTCAAAAGTTGAATGGACAAAGGACAGAAACTGAATTCATATATGAAGACACACATATAAAAACATATAAACAAAAGAAAAAATTCATGCTTGCTTGTAATCAAAACAATGTAAAGAATGAGATTTTTTGTAAACTATAAAATTAGCAAAAAAGAAATTTTGCAGAGGATAATGAGACTAGATGGGTAAGATGAGATGAATACTCTTTTGTACTGCTGTGGAAACCTAAACTAGTATACTTTATGAAAAATAATTTGGCAGTATAAGTCAAATTCCTTAATCTAATTCTACCTGTAGAAATGTACCCTAAAGGGGTGCCTGGGTGACTCAGTCACTTAAGCGTCTGCCTTTGGCTCAGGTCATGATCCCAAGGTCCTGGGATCGAGCCCTAAATCGGGCTCCCTGATCAGTGGGGAACCTGCTTCTCTCTCTCCCTCTGTCTCTCCCCCAGCTTGTGCTCTCTCTCTCTCTCGCTCACTCTCTCTCTCAAATAAATAAAATAAAATCTTAAAAAAAAAGAAATGTACCCTAAAGAAATTATTCCAAGCATAGCAAAAATGTATGCACAAAAATGTTCATTGTGGTATCAGTGGAAAATTGGATACACCTGAAACATCCAAAACAGAAGAAATGGTTAAGCAAATTAAAAATCATGGTTCAGGGGCACCTGGGTGGCTCAGCTAGTTGATCTGACTTCGGCTCAGGTCATGATCTTGGGGTCCTGGGATCCAGCCCTGCATTGGGCTCCCCACTCAGCAGGAAGTCTGCTTCTCCCTCTCTCTCTGCCCCTTCCCCTGCTCATACTCTCTCTCTCTGTCAAATAAATAAATATAATCTTTAAAAGAAATCATGTTTTGGGGTGCCTGGGTGGCTCAGTCAGTTAGGTGTCTGACTCTTGTTCTTGGCTGGTCTTGATCTCAAGATCGTGAGTTAAGGCCCTTCACCGGGGCCCGGCATGGAGCCCACTTTGGAAAAAAAAAAAAATCATGTTTAGTTCTTTGCTAAATGTGGGAAAATGTAGGAGATCATACAGGCTAAGTTATGCAAAGGCCTACTATAATAGGCCTCATTAGGACAGTTTGTTCCAGACGGTTTTTTCTTGGGAGTTTTTAATCACATCTGAGAGTTCTGAAGTACCACTGCCTACCCTCTGAAGTATTTTGGGTAAAGGAAAGTGGGTGTGCTCTGGCATCAGACAGATATAGCTCAAACCCCCGTTCTGTTACTCAGCCGTACAACCTTGGGCAAACTGCTTAACTTCTCTGAGACTCAGTTTCCCTTCTCAGATAGGAGGGTAATAGGTATGCCTGTATAAAGATTAGTGACATATATGTAAAGTACCCTGCATAGAGTAGGTGAGTGGTGATCAGAATTATTAATTACAATTTTAGTGTATCAATGTGGGAGCACTGCAGGAAACACAGCAACCCAGTACTGATTGGGTTTCTACTATGTGCAGCATGGTGCAAGTGTTGAGAGAACAAAAATAAGTAAGGTAAGTTCACCTCCCAAGGAGTTTACAGCATAGTAGGAGATAGGTTACAAACTTAAAAAAAATAGTAAATGGGGGGCGCCTGGGTGGCTCAGTCGTTAAGCATCTGCCTTCGGCTCAGGTCATGATCCCAGGGTCCTGGGATCAAGCCCCGCATCGAGCCCCGCGTCGGGCTCCCTGCTCAGCGGGAAGCCTGCTTCTCCCTCTCCCACTCCCCCTGCTTGTGTTCCCTCTCTTGCTGTGTCTCTCTCTGTCGGGTAAATAAATAAAATCTTTAAAAAAAAAAAAAATAGTAAATGGAATTTTTGAATTGGGATATTTTCTATTACTCTACTTTTTAAAAAAAATATTTATTTATTTGTTTGAGAGAGAGAGAGAGAGCATGGGCGGGGGAGGGTTAAGGGAGAGGGGGAGAGAGAGAGAGGAGCAGACTCCCCGCTGAGGGTGGAACCTGATGCGGAGCCCAATCTCAAGACCCTACGATCATGACCTGGACTGAAATCAAAAGTCAGATGCCCAACCAACTGAGCCACCCAGGTGCCCCATCTATTTCTCTACTTTTTAAGGCTAAACTGACTCAGACCTAAGGAAAAGGGGAGAGTAGTCTACAAATATGCCCCTTGTGCCCAGTCATGCTGTCACCCATCACAGATGCAACACTTGTTCTGTGGCTTTTTTGTGTATCACCAAGCTTGGTTCCCAGCTTTATATACACAGGTCAGAAAGTCAGTATAACACTGAATCAATCCTAAAAACCCTTCTACAAATACTGATAATATGAATGAATAACACTTTTCCTATTGCCCTTTCATGGTAGTTTCTCCCACAGGTAGAGGTTGCACTCTCTCCTTTTTTTTTTTTTTTTTAAGAGAGGGAGAGAGAGAGGAGCAGAGGGAGAAGGGCAGAGAATCTTCGGAGGCCCACGCCCAGAGCGGGAGTCTGATGAAGGGCTCAGTCTCTCGACTCTGAGATCATGACCTGAGCCGAAATCAAGAGTTGGATGCTTAACGGACTGAGCCACCCAGGCACCCCTTGCACTCTTTATTTTAGAAATACTTTTGATGTTATCTTAGCAATTGGTGGGATAGAATAGCTCTCAGGCAGCTATTATTAGCTAATGTCCCAAGCAAAGAACTATCACAATGGTTTCCAAACTTGTCTGCACATTAAAGATCACTTGGGGATCTTTTAAAAATTGTAGAGCCCAGGTCACACCCTAGATCAATTAAATCCACAGTCTTTGGAGATGGAACACAGGTACTGGTATTTTTTGAAGCAAATAAGTTTGGGCTCTGCCACAATATTATTTAATGGGTAAGACTCCTGGCTCTGGAATCATAAAGGCTAAAACCAAATCCTGGCTCTAACCAAGAGAGAGAGGAAAAGCATTTCAGACAGAGCAGACAGCAAGTGTAAAGGTCCTGAGGTGAAATCAAGCAAAAGGCACAGGAAGACGGTTGGTCAGGGTGGCTGGAGGAAAGGGAGCAAGAGAGGACAGCAGGATTTGTGGTTGGGCCAGATCCCAGTGAGCCCTGCAGGAGTCTGGCTTTTATTTAAAGGCTACCAGAAGTAAGTCCCTAAAGGATTTTGAGCAAAATGATGAACACCAGCTCCCTCTAAGAGATAATCAGAACATTATGGCTGCAGTAGGCCCTTTAAATGTCTGTATTTTAGGGCGCCTGGGTGGCTCAGTTGGTTAAGCGACTGCCTTCGGCTCGGGTCATGGTCCTGGAGTCCCGGGATCGAGTCCCGCATCGGGCTCCCTGCTCGGCAGGGGGTCCGCCTCCCCCCTCTGCCCTCTTCCCTCTCGTGCTCTCTGTCTCTCATTCTCTCTCTCTCAAATAAATGAATAAAATCTTTAAAAAAAAAATAATAAATAAATAAATAAATAAATGTCTGTATTTTATTCTGTAGCACACAAACCACATCACTCACGTTGCCCCCTATAGCTAAAAAATGCAATGATCCAGGCCATTTGATGGAGAAGGCTGCCATCTGCTGGGAGAGAGCCTGATTAAACCTGTTCTTCCTGGATGGCAGCAATGAGGCATTTGTTCACTGTGAGTCCCACTGCAAACTCAAGTAAAGCATTTTGTAACATATAAGGATGAAATGTCTAAGTATAACTGTTCTCCACTTTGCCCTCTACCCTGCCTCCTAAGGAGCCCATGTTTGAGATGTTCAGCCTCTAGTCCTGGGTTGTACTGAATGGGATACGACTGACCTACAAAGAAAAGGCAGGGAGCACCTCTCAGAATAGATCTAGGGGGCACAGGAAGAGAGGGTAAGAGAGAGGCAAGCTAGAACTAGAGAGAAATAGGAGAGGTATTTTTGGAGATTAGCTGTCATGAGGATTGGGACTTGGGAAGAGTGATGCCTCAAGAACATTTTTAGCAGGTTTCACTCTATGTTCGATTGTATAGTTGCCCATAAGATACTTCAGTGAGGTCTACTTTAGTTTTCAAGGCTTTTTGAAGTAAAATTTGTGCTTGTTTTACGTGCACTATTGTTTTAGAGATTGGTCGTAAAGCAGTCCACTTCTATATTGGGTATGACAATGTAAACAAACAGTGGGATGTTCTCTGATATGATGTAATAAGCTATGTGATCCGTCACTACTGTTCATTCTTCTTGCTCTTCTCCTAGGCACGGCTCCTGAACACTGTGCTTCCCAGTGCCTTAGCTCAGGGTCATCAAGCAAGAGATAGGAGAGCGTGGGAAGGGTTTTTGCTTGAGGTTGAGAAGCCAGAGGCAGAAAAAGGGCAAGTCCTTCCATCTAGTTAAATGACAACAACAACAGAAACCAGAGACTTCTGCGCAAACTAGAGCTCAAAACTATTACATCCTCAAGCTATTAAGCTGTGCCTCCTCTCATAACTATACTTTTGTGACCCTTTTTCTCAAATTTCAAATCTATTTTTCATGTTCATTTTTACCCGATTTCATCTATGTGAAGACAGCCCTGGCAACTTGGGTAGCTGCTAAGAAAGCTGGATTTATAACTCACACCAAACACCAGGATAAATTCTGAATGGATCAAAGATTTAAATGTTTAAAAAAAAAGATTATAAAAGAA